ATTGTTTTCTTCAAATGTGTTTAGCTCCAGCAAAGCCAGCTGACTGTGGCTCTTCTACCGTGTGATCAGCTTAGGAATAGTTTAAGGATTTTGCTGAGTTTTGTGGCACAACTTAGGCTTCTTTGCCAACTTCTTCCTCCGTTCCTCTTCCTCTATTAACCGTAATTGTTCTGCATCTTCTTTCCTTGCAAGTTTAGCACTGTGTAAAAAGAAAATGTGTTAGGAAACAGATGGATCGGAAAACTCAATGAATTCACTGACACAAAACGGGAAAAAGATGTCTTTACCCCTAGATACTAAATGTATGACAGAATTGACAACAGTTTCTGTCATTTCTTGATGCAATTTATTCAAGTACTAATGAATAGATAAACTGCAAAATCTAATTGTAGGAAATCATACTGACCTTCTCCTCTCCTCCTTCATGATATCATCAAAGTTAGCTTCCATATTTCCATCATCACGATCATCACGATTAGCAAATCTCTTGGTACTGCAAAAGAATAAAATTTTAATAATTATGAGAACCATTAACTGAATAATCAAACAAAAAGATACACTAGAAGCAGGTAAAAAGAACTGTAACCAATTACTTAAACAGGAAAGGGTGTATTAGGAGAGCAAAAAAGGAAAAATCATGAGTGGAATCAAGAGTACTTACTTAAACATTTCCCTGACAGCCTCGATAGCCTTTTCACTTTCAGATGGTGGCCTCTTCTTGGGTCGGTGAACTTGACGCATAACTTGAGATGAGACATACTTTATTGCCTTGTTATCCTGTTAAGGATTCAGGAAAGAAAAGAAGTGAATAAGCCCTTCATTAATCAACAGTGTTTGTCTCAAATAAAAGAACATGCAATTAAGCAGAAGTGTTGTAAAAGCAAACCTGAGGCTCCAACAATGGTACTGGCTGATTCAACTTAATTTTAACTTCGAGGTTTGGTTTTGGATTGGACTGCATCTGATCTGAAGAGGCTTCTTTGTGTGGATTTGGTGGGGTTTTTCCAGATTGCTTCTTCTCCACAGCTTTTGATTTTGCAGGCTTGATTCGAGTTTTGAGGTTGAGCTGCTTCTTAGAATCGATTGATGTTGAGTTGAATTTCCAAGCAGAACTCGAGTTCCCAGACCCAGCTTTAGAATGCATAACACTGTTCAAAGAAACCAGTTTTCCTTTTCCACAGGCAACCTGGACTTCAGTGAGAGCAGGGGGAAGCTTTGCATCATCATATACACCTTTGACTTGTTGCCTCCCATTGTTACCCAATGCTTGCTTGCTCTTCAAGGCTTCTGCAATATAAGCAAATGGCATGTAAATAACCGTATGTTTTAGAAGTTCATTAATGACTAAACCCCAAAAAAGGAAGTACATGAATGATTTAAACCCCAAAGAAAGGAAACAAAATAGGATTCCATACCAGAGCCTTGAGTAGAGGCATCTTTGATATCAGAAACAGGTGGAAGCTTTGCGCCATCATCATGCAGAAAGGAGTAATCCCTCGACATCTTAAGTTGCTCAATCTTCTTTTTCATCTGCACAAATCAATAACCATTAAAGTCAATAATAATCGAAACAGAGCTTTTTCCACAGCTAAAACCATCATACAAAGCAGAAAGAACTGTAGATACCTCAGTTATTGACGAAGCAGAGTCTTTTTGTTTCTTCAATGAATCCGAAGACTGTTAAAACAAATTAGACATCAGAATTCAAAAAATTGTAAAATCAACACGATTCAGATTATTTTCATTCAGAAAAAAACCCTCCACAAACGTTACCTTGTTCATAGAAGCCAGCAAGATTTTGGATATAGAGTCCAAGTTTTCTTTCTGCCAAACTCTGGATTCTTCCATTACTCTTTTTGAAATCGTTGCCTGAGAAGGGCCAAAGAACGATCCATAACTACAAGAAAACAACATCAAGATTTCAGAACAATAGTTTCGGCGAATTAAAAGCACTTTTACAGACCCAAAACAGAGAATCCAAAGAAGACGAAACAGATTGAAAAAAAGATATAAAACCCCTTTTAGCCTTTTACTCACTTATCACATGGAAGTTTCTTCATTCTTTCTACTACATTCATTGAGAAACCAGCAAGATTTCCCCGATTCCTCGTTCGGATTAATTCTTTCAGTTGTTGCCTCAACCCGAGAAATTCCTGAATCAACAACATCATCAAAAAAATCAAGAAACTATAATTGTTAAGCGAAAAAACGTCAAAAAATTTCAGAATCGGTAACAAGAACATAAACCCATTCCCCTAAACGATGGAAAAATCAAAAACTTACAGTCGTTTCTTCATCTTGATCGGACGCCATTGCTGCTTTCTTGATTTCTGGTGTTTCTTGGAATTCAAGAGTATGAGAAACGCGGGAGCTAAGTAATACGGGATATGAATTTATAATATATCCGGAGTAAATGTGAAATTCCCGTCCTGCCCTCTGAAGTAGTCGGCACTAAGTAATTCGGGTTGTTTTAGGATTTTGAATTTGATGGGCTGAGAATTTCTGGGCCTTGAGTAGAAGTGTTGGGCTTTTCACAATTTTATGGGCATCACCAGCCGTCCAATCCTTGTAGCCCACTTTCGTTTGAGTCCACCAACAATTACGCCTCATTTTGTAATTAAGGTTTTTTTAATTTGTGATTTTTTAGAGTATTTTTTTAATATTTATTATTGTTAAAAAAATAAAAGTTAAATTTTATTTAATTAAATTTTTAATTAAAATAATTAATATAGTATAAGTGATAAAATTAATATCAAATTTTATTATTTTTAATATTAATTAATACAAAAAAATATATATTAATTACAATCTTAGTTCTAAAAAGACTCTAATACAATTATTTTACCCCCCGATGTAGGACAAGATTTTCCCTCCAATTGAGGGTTCGTTGTTCAACCCATCCCAACCCCCTCTCTGCTCCCCATCCCATGAGATAAAAAAGAAAAAAAAAATTGAATACACATTATTATCAATGCCACTGCCGATGATTACTGTTAAATGACGAACTACTATTATGTCACGTTATATGTATCATCATTACATTAGTAGTAAAAACTTTAAAGATTAGATTTTTTCTTTTTATTTCAGTAGAATGTAATTATTTTTTATTTTTTATCTCATTCTACCTGTATGTCATACGATTTGAATTCAAAATTTTTTACTTATAGTGAAAGAAAATTATTATTGAATTAATTAAATCGTTGGTTAATAGAATATAATAAATATATATCTTTTTAAATATAAGGTTTTTGATTTAAATTTTAAGTTGGTTAAAATTTTATTTTAGTTTTTGTATTTTAAGAAAAAGTCTTTTTTTGTTTTTTTATTTAAAAAAATTCCTTTTTAATCTTTAAAATTTAAAATCCATCCCACCCTTTTTAGTCCTCTATTTTAAGATCCCCAACTTGAGTCTTTTTGGTTCTTATTTTCTTAATTACCATCATGATTGCCTCCTTGGCTAATAGAATAGAATAAAAATAACTTACCCAATTTGAGCTTATGGAATGGACAAGTAACCACTTAAAGAGAGAGTGAAGAAGACCCAACTTTTATTTCCTTTTTCTCCAAAAGGAAAGTGATCCAACTTGCTTCAATATCTCTGTTGTGGTCAACGCCACTCAGCCAATTGTCATGATCATGAACCATAATTTAATTTTTTTTTATTAGTTTATACTTGTTTTATTAAATAATTAGTTATAATTTTTAAAAAATAGTTATTTATAAATTAATTTAATTTATTAAACAATAAGAATCAATTAATTTTTATTTTAATTTAATTATTAAAAATAATTAATAATTAATAAAAATTAAAGAAATTGTATATCCTAACAAATGGCCTTGTTGCCATTCCCACTGTCCAATATTTCATATTCTACTTTTGTGTTGTGTTGTGAGTGCCGTAGTGTAGACTGGGTAGATGCCCAACTTGGCAACTTGGCAATATAACCAATGCTGTGTTTGTCACGTTATTTAAAGATAATCAGAAAGGTCAATTCAGTCTCCCCATCAAGACTGAATTAACCTCGGGTAGTTGAATATTGAAAAAAATAATAATAATGTTTTACGACATGCGAATAGAAACAAGAAAAATAAAATAAAATAAAGCGAACTAATTGTTTAATTGTTTTATTTAGTCTAAGTCTCTTGTTTTTTTTTGACAATTTTTAGCCAAAAATGCTTTTTAAATCTCAAATTTATCTCAAAATAATATTTAAACTCTTAAATTAAAAATAAAGTAAATGGACCTTCTAACTCTACTAACGATATAAATAAATCATTTTCACAAATGAGCCAAAATGTATGTAATGTTTAATGTCACCTTTAAAGCATGAATAGCCATAAATAAAAAAAAATTATTTACATTATCAATGAAGTTGGAGGGTTTATCCATTTCACTATTAATTCAAGGTTTAAATGTTATTTTGAGATAAGTTTGAGGGTTTAAAAAGGATTTTTACCCAATTTTTAATGAAAGATGCTTTCCGAATGAATTCATTTTTTATTGTTTATTAAAAAAAAGGAAAAAGAAAAATCCTCCAAAAGAGGAGGATGGAGTCAAAGTAAAGTGGAATTTTTTTAGATGAAGGTCTTCTTGGTGCATTTAGTGGCGGAAAGAGGCATGCAGGACACACTATATCAAACTAAAAATGGAGGGGTATATGCATCAGAAGAGAAAATAATAGAGGGGTATATCATGAAATAATATATTTGTAGGAGTTTTACTCACAACCTCAAAAGTTAAACCAATTGGTCTACTTTGTTGATTCAAATTTTAAGGTTTTATTTTTAAAATAAATTTTTTAGGTTTTTTAACCATTTAAGAGTATATTTAGCTTGAAAATAACGAATAAGGGGAAAAATATTTTGTTCAATCAAATTAAAATTAATTATATGAAAATTTTTTATTATTTTTTATTTTTTTAAATTAAACATATTTTAAAACAACCAACAACTAAAATAATTTAGTAATTTTATTTTGTTTGAAAATAAGAGATTATGAGCTTATGTTGCATAGCATATAGGAAAAATAAGATTAAAAGATAAACAAAATTATTATTATTATTTTTTGAACAGTGTGGAATTCTTTTTTTCAAGGAAGGGGGAAAGGGCTTAGGATTTGATCCCAAATTCTTTAGTCCTAAGCACGTCCCGGTAGGGGTGGTCATTGGGCCACTAAGTGCTGGACAATAAACAAAATTATTTTTTATTATATAACACAAAATAAAAAATATACATTTTAAAACATGCATATGATTGTACGTAAGTCGAAGGAAATGAATTTTTTTAAAAAAAAGAATATAGGTAAAGATGAGCAAACGGTTAGTTAATCAAATAGGTAATTGAAAACCATTAAAAAATTAACTAAATGGTTAGATATAAATGGTTTTTTTTTTTTAATTTTAATTGGATAATTGATAAAATTTAGTTGATTAATTGTTAGAGAGTCGAAAATTCGAAGCTGAATATAATAGAAAAATAAAATTTTATTTTAATAAATAAATAATAGTTATTAAAATATTATAAATAAATATAAAAATCATCTTATTTAATTTCATTTTTAAACTTTACCTTATAAATTTTATTATAATTTAGTATTTAAAATTAAAATATATTTAAAAGTAAAAAAATAAAATTCAAAATTTATACTTTACTCTCATTTATTCATCTTTTTACATTTTTTATATTTATATTCTTTAAAATTTTTAAATTTTGATTAAGTATATTTATTATTAAATTTGAAATACATATTCAATATTAATTTGGTTATAACTGATAACTAAAATAATCAATTTTTATTGTTTTAGTTATCAAACCAAAAAATTTAAAAAGAATTCGATTTAATTTTGATTACTAAAACTAAAAAAAATATAATTAAAAAATTTTAGACCAAAATTCGAACCAGATCCAGGCCTGAAATCAAGTACGCGTCTGCAATTTAAAAAAAAAAAAGAAAAAAGAAAGAAAGAATGAAAATAGATGTTAAAACGAAAAGAAAAATGAATGAAAATGCTCGAGGGTAAATTCGTCTTAAAAAAAAGACACAGCACAAGTGCATATCCCCCCGAATCTGAAGGTCAAACCTGATGTAAAAGCTAAGTGCTGGAACCAACAAATCAGAACCCAACACGTATGCCAGATATGTACCCTTCAAGAGTACCCATCCATCATGCATGCGCGAACATCATCCGCATCTACTCATGCACATCCCATGAAAAGTGGGCCCCAGTAAATCGGCGGAACAAGTGGGCGGGGAGGACGAATCAGGAGATTTATTCCTCGCACGCCATTGAGACACGTGTTCCAAAACGAGATCTGGTCTGCATATATCTATAGCTTCGCTCTCATTGGCTGGGTCATCGCGTGGCG